TCAAAATAATACCACCGACACATTATCTTTGAAGCTACCTCAAAATAAGAAAATCAAATATGCAAGAGTGAAAAGGAACTGCTCTACTCTTAGGTCTAAAAATCGGACAAAAATTGAAGGATCTGCTGCCTACTACCTTTCGGTTAACAATCTTCAAATAATCTGCCATCCACTATATTAATTGCAATGTTTAATGCTCCAACATACACCTATTGCAGTTGAGGAAAAAGATTTCATGAAGAATTGTAGCCTAATGACTTTGGTAAATGTGCCTACTCTTTATTAAATAACTCCAAGGTGCATACAATTAGTTACTTGCGTGCATTTCTTTCTTAGTTGAGAAACAACTGGAGTTTATTGTGTTGCTATGAGAAATTAGAGAAATGCCGCCAAGATCTCTGATATTATTCTATGTTGTCTCTGATACCATGAGAATAATTCAAACCAAGTTCATAAATCAAACAAAGGATAATAATTACAAGAGAGAGAGAGAGAGAGAGAGAGAGAGAGAGAGAGAGAGAGAGAATAAACTAATTAATAAGAGCCTCCAAAAATTAGGGTTTACAATGAACCAAATAGTTTATTTATTACAAGGAACCTAAAATATTACGGAAACTAAATATTATGCTAAATATATAAATATATATTATTACTCATCACCCCGGTCTTTCACTGCCGCCATTGTTTCTACAGTTGTGAAAAATATTCATCTGTAACACTATCTAGAGAGAAAACAAAAAGAAGCGAGAAAGGATTACATAATAGAAAACATAACATTTGGATGCCAATCGAGGAAGACATACAATTTTCGAGATTAGCTGGCTCACTCTTGTTTGTAGGGTAGAACTATGGTTCATGAGAGACTGTAAAAACCAACAATACAGTATAAATCAGAAGTAATTGAATGATTTTATATGATAGAAATATGGTCGTGATTGGCAGACAGCAGAAGCAAGCGGTGATTTGAATAGGTTTCGAGAGGGTGAAGCAAAAGAATTGGGCCGGGTTATTTCTTGTGGGCTGGTATGGTATGTGATTGGTTTGGCCATAGATCGGGTAAAAAATATGTGGAAATTACAACCCTACATGTATTTAAACATCACAATTCATAAATAAGGGTTGAGGTTTATTTATTCACAATTTAGGTATTATAATTAATCTACAATACAACCTCATCCAACACCCACACCCCATCCCATCCCCAATTTCATACATAAATCTCTCTCTTTACTCTCCTTTCCATTGCCATTTTCTTTCTCCCAACATTCTCTTTACTTTACTCCGATGCTGATGCGAGATTGGCAACGCTGCAAGAGAGCCACCTACTGTAAGGACCTATGATCCAATGTGGCCGCGTGACCTCTGCATGCGACTCTACATAGATTAGTGGTGGTTGTTGGAGTGGCACTTAGATAACAATCATCGCTGCACGTAGCTTCTCTCTTAATGTCGCTACAATGCACTCAAGTCGACGATGGTGGTTGGAGAAGCGCTTAGATCGGCTTCTCTTGTAATATCATTGCAGTAGCTCTGTTGGCTTTATTATGTTGTTGAAGTGGTGGTTGTTTCCATATTTTGTTAGTGTAAAGGTTTTGGCGTAGTTGGTACAATTGGTGGTGGATTTAGAGGTGACGGTGAGATGTTAGTTTTGGTTGGATTTTTTTTTGTTGTTGTTGGAGTGGTGGTTGGATTTGGTAGTGGTGTGATGGCACGGTAGATCTAGGTAAGATACAGGTGGTAATGGTGACGGCTAGTGTGATCTATTTGTGGTGGTATGTACGATGGTGTTGTGGTGCGTGTTATCGTAGGCACTCCAAATTAAAACTTATACTTCTTAAAATTAATGTAATAGTGGAAGTAAGGGTCAATCCAACGAAGAGTGATTAATTTACTTTTTGATGCAATATTAACTAAAATGGGGGGTTTTAGTTTTCTTGAAATAATACAAATCACCGAATTAAATATAAGCAATAAAACAAACTTTGACCTAAGTCAACATCCACCGTTGAAAATTAATAACTAGTCATTGATCCACAAATAATCATCAGTTCATAATTGTAGCATTCATTGTGAAAAATAAATTTCTCATTCAAAACAATTTTCCTATTTCTCCTTAATTTTAATTAATTAGAAACAAGTGATCTAATTAATCCTCATTATCAAACAATCCTAGACAAGCGCGAAAATTTAATTTATAATGACTGCGAATTAGAGAAATCAATGAACTAGATAACACAAGTCAAGCGTTTGCATTTAACTTAGATAAATCTTCTCCCTAAGAATTAATAATTTCCAACCAGTAAATTATCAATCTTAGTTGTTTCATAAGTTAAACCAATCAACAATTACAGTTTTGAAATTCAATTTAACTATAGATTATTGAGATTAATTACCTAGCATGCACTCTAAAAATCAAACACAACAATCATAAAAATAATTGTAGAAGAAGATTTAATACTAAGCATATGAATTAATCAATAAAAATCAGGTGAATCTTACAGTTTAATTGTTCCAAGGCTTTCGTCTCCTTTGATCAAGCAAAAGAAATTAATTGCACATCCTAGATCTTGAGCTCAAAGAGAAAAAAATAGGGTTGGGGGCGTTCTTCCTATTTTGGACAAGATTTAGGGCTTATATATGATGTACAAGATTTATTTCCATAAGTATTCGATTCAAATTAGGAAACTAAAAATCGTGTGTCGGAAATGAACTATGTGACCGCATAGTTATAAGTGTTGCTGTCGCATAGAACAATGATTTGTAGCCCAAAAGTTCTCTGAAAATCTGAATGCGTTGAACTATGCGACCGTATAGAACAATCGTTTTCCCGCTAGACAGCTTTCAATATTTTGATTGCAACTTTCTTTTCCAATATTCGATTGAGGTGATTCAAAATGTGTTGGAGAGATAACTCAAAGGCTATAACTTTTATTCAGATACCATCTTCCAATTCGATCGTTTACCATGTCAAAAACAAGTCACAATATGATTTCGAAAATCGGTTCATAACCTTTTCGATTGGAAATTGATGTGTGATTATACTTTGATTGTATTTCATCCCTTTGACGTCTTTCCTCATCCACTTGACATCTAACACTATTGAATCTTCATCCCATTGCTTGTCTCATCTAGGAATTATTTGCAACTTGGTCCCTGAGCTTTCATATTCTCTTTTCTTGGCTTTTTTTTTCTTGTTTTCCTTTTTCCAACACTTTAAGTCTTCCATCAATTGACCTTCAAAATTTTCACTCCTTCGTTTTGCCTTTAGGTTCAACTTTTGAATATTTACATTTTAGTCCTTAAACTTTGATTTCTTTCATTTAAGTCCTTTTTTGCTCTTTCCTTCTATTTTATGCCATGATCATCCAAATGCAATATAAATCACAATATAAGAGTACTTAGCATATTTAGGTGTTAATTAGTCATAAAAATACAAGAATTAATAGATATAAATCATGACATTTCATGTCTTATCAAATTTCCCCACACTTACCTTTTGCTCGTCCTCGAGTAACATTCAAATTCACTTTTACAAAGATGTTAAGATTGCCATGCTATCAACATAGAACAACCTAACTCGCCAAAACACATAACACATTATGAACAAACATTCTCACACAACTTATAATCAATTAGCAAGTATTCTCATATCAAGATGGAGTAAACCAAACATGTAGACCCTCACGGAATATAAGCACTCAACTCTCATGTGTTTAATGGGTAAGTGTTTCGCTCAAGTTCATTCCAATAGAGATGTTCTACCATATGTTTGCATATCTTCTCATTCTCCAGCAATCAGATCACATGCATAACATAAATCATAAGGTCTTTTCAATGGGTTGTAACGTGGCTTAGAGTCCAGGTGGGAAGTATTTGGGTAAGTGACTCAAAAGCCATTGAAATAGTGGAGTAAAGATGAATTAACTCAGCTCAAACGTATATATAAAACGTGTAAGATTAATCTCTCCATACACAACTTTTTTACACCTATTTCACACAACCCAACTTGTAATATATTAGGAGGAACCATGAACATAAAATAATTTTGTAACATTGAAAACTATTTCCTCCATCACTTTTTTCTCTTTCATATTTTTCATCATTTTTTTTCGATTTTTTTAACTCAAAATATTGCACTAATATTGAAACTTATGAATTGTAATTGAGCACATGTTCCATTCCACCATCATAATCCTATCAAAATTTTAGACACCCCACACTTATTTCTTTCGCACTCCCATATATCAAAATGAAGAACAATACCCCAATAGCTCTATGGCTTGGGTAAAGATATTATTTTTTTGAATTTAAAGCTTGTAACGTGGGTTTACAAAACAAAAAGGCTATAAGGCTCAATGGGGTTTAATAAAGGAAAAATTAATTACAGGGAAGGCTATTTAGCTAAGGTGGCGAATTTTTGCAATAAAGATGGCCTTAATCATGTTCATGCAAGTTCTAGAGAAACAAATCCATGAAAGAAAATCACTCATGAAAGAAAATAGTGAGACCAATATGTATGTGTCAGTCTGAAAGCTCAAAATCTGACCGATTTTTTGTCTACAAAATTTAGTTACTACCATCCTCAAAAAGAATAACCGTACTAATTAACTCTAAGTTGGAAGATCAATTATTCAATCATGTTATGAGTCCATCAAAGCCTAATTAAATTTAACAAGTAGTAAATGCAACCAAAAATCATTTAAAATTACAACTTTTTCCTCGATTTTTCTCGAAAAAAATTTCTTGTCTTGTCAGAAGTAATGTAATCATGACCTATATAAAAAATTTAAAAACAACCTAAATTCTCTCACCCACGCTTAAAACTTACATTGTCCCCAATGTAAAGTGAAATGTAAAGAAAAGAACAAATTTAAACTAAAAGATTAATGCAAATACGAAAACGAAAAGAAAAATAAAAAGTAAGGAACGAACTCCCTTTGGGTTGCCTCCCAAGCAGGGCCTTTGTTTATTGTCCTTGGCTAGACTTATTGCTTCCTTCCTCAACAGGAATCAATTGGGTTCCCAAGGTCCCATGTTCTCACTTCATCCATTTGGAAACCTGCATAGAAAGGCCTCTCGTTAGCAATTGGCAAAACAATATGTGAACTTTTACCTGACTTTGGAGAAGCATTCAATGCCACAATGATTTCCTGCAAGGTAGTATTCGAGGGTAACTCCTAATTCACATCCTCAATATGCTTATCAATGGCAACTTTTGCTGCATTGTTTTCATCACGTTCTAAAACTTTCTGTTCTATTATCAGGCACTTTAATAGAATAAACAGGGTTAGTTTCATCAGGATATTTCATGGCATCATAAATGTTAAATTCATTGATTTTATAATCAAATTCCATAGTAAGCATACCACTATAAAAATTAATTTTAGTTTTGGATGTCCTTAAGAATGGTATTCCTAGTAGAATGGGGATAGTTTGATTACTATATCTCATATCAAGCACATAGAAGTCAGCGGGAAAAACTAAATCATTAATTTTCACGAGAACATCCTCAACTACACCGTTAGGATTGGCATTAGATTTATCAGCTAGTTGAATTATGACACCAGTTTCATTCAAAGGTCCAAGTTCTAAAGAAGCGTATACATAGTATAGCATGACATTAATAGAAGCTCCTGAGTTTAACATGGCCTTTTTGAACCTAGTGTTACCTATCATGCAAGGGATGCTAAACATGTCTAGATCTTTACACTTTCTAGGGAGATTTCTTTGAATGATTGAAGAAACATTTTTCCCTACATTTATCTTTTCACACTTTTAAGTTTTACTTTCTTTTAAGAGTATACAATTCCTTCAAGAACTTAGCATAACGAGGTACTTGTTTAATAGCATCCAGCAATGGAATGTTTACCTCACATTTACGAAAAGTTTCATAAAGTTCATGATTATGTTCATCTTTCCTAGGTTCTACTAAAGCCTGAGGGAAAGAGGGTACCGGTTTATACTCAAAAAGGGGTGGAAACTTACGCTTAGGTACGCCATCATTGTTGGGAACACTCTTTTCTTCAATGACATCTTTCTCCTTCTCCTGCTTCAATGATGTAAGGGTTGCCTTTGGAATTTCAACTTCCTTACCATTCTTCAACAAGATTGCACTTACATTTTCCCTTGGATTTACCATTATTTGAGAGGGTAATTTTCTTGAACGTTGTGCTTCCAACCTACTGATTGAGGTTGCCATTTGACCTATCTGATTCTCCAAACTTTTAATACTTACCCTTGTCTCCTGTTGGAATTGCAAAGTGTTAGTGGCAAGAGACTTAACAATATCTTCTAAAGGCATACCTAAACTTGAAGTTTGGTCCTGTTGTTGTCTAGGAGGATATGGCTACCTGTATTGCTGGAAGTTTGGTTGATTCACTTGTTGATTCCCATAGCTAAGGTTAGGATGATTCTTCCATCCTGGATTGTAGGTGTTTGAGTAAGGATTATAATTCCTTTGTGGTTGTCCAGGAAAGCTGCCTACTGCATTAACTTGTTTATCTTCTTGAAGAGTTGGACACATGTCAGTGTAATGACTTGCTACTGAACAGATTCCACACGCCTTTGCTGTTTGTATAGTACTTGTAACCATTTGTCGAACAAGAGTAGTCAGACTCGAAATTTGTTGTTTAAGGGTTAAGATATTTACCTCATTGACACTTTTAGAAGGAGTGTCGAGTCTAGTGCCAAATTGTTGAGAATTGGCTTCCATGTTTGTAATTAAGTTTCTCGCGCCCTCAGGTGTTTTATCTACCAGCGCTCATCCGCTTGCAGCATCAATCATACTCCTATCTGTGGGTAGAATCCCTTCATAAAAATATTGGATAAGTGGTCGTTCACTGATTTAATGATGGGGACAGCTTGTACACAGTCGCTTGAAACGCTCCCAGTATTCATGTAGGGATTCCTTGCTGTTCTGTATTACGCCACAAATTGCTTTTCGGATATTTGTTGCCCCTAAAGCTGGAAAATATTTTTCTAAGAACAACCTCTTCATTTCTTCCCATGTTGTGATACTTCCAGATGGTAGATAATAGAGCCAATCCTTAGCTGAATCTTTCATGCTAGTACAGACCACGTGAAATTCCTTCAAATGTTTATGGGGGATCTTTATCTACAAGACCATGAAAAGTGGGCAATAGATGTATTAGTTCGGATTTTAATTCAAAAGTAGTATAAGCATCTAAATTAGGGAAAGTTATGCATAAGGGTCGTTGATGCAAATTCGGAGCTGAAAGCTTTTTCAAAGTTTGATTCCTAGCCATGCCAATCCTCATCCTGTGCAAAATTCTTTTTATTTATGGATCGTACTGCAAATCACCTTAGTTAAAGGATCGAGTTATGGGCATAAACAATCAAGGAAGCAAAAAGAAAAGAAAAGAAAAACTAAACTAAACAAAATAAACAATTTTTTTTAAAACAAAAACTAATGAAACAAATAAAAAGCACAAAAATAAACTAAATCAATCCCTGGCAATGATGCTAAAATTTGGTGCGTACTATCTTAGGCACTCCAAATTAAAACCTATACTTCTAAAAATTAATATAGTAGTGGAAGTAAGGGTCGATCCCACAGAGAGTAATTAATTTACTTTTTGATGCAATATTAACTAAAATGGGGAGTTTTGGTTTCTTGAAATAATACAAATCACCGAATTAAATATAAGCAATAAAACAAAACTTGATCTAAGTCAACATCCACTATTGGAAATTAATAATCGGTCATTGATCCACAAATAATCATCAATTCATAATTGTAGCATTCATTGTGAAAAATAAATTTCTCATTCGAAACAATTTTCCTATTTCTCCTTAGTTTTAATTAATTAGAAACAAGCGATCTAATTAATCATCATTATCAAACAATCCTAGACAAGCGCGAGAATTTAATTTAATAATGACTTTGCAAATTAGAGAAATCAATGAACTAGATAACACAAACCAATAGTTTGCATTTAACCTATCTTCTCCCTAAGATTTAATAATTTCCAACCAGCAAATTATCAATCTTAGTTGCTTCATAAGTTAAACCAATCAACAATTACAGTTTTGAAATTCAACTTAACTATAGATTATTGAGATTAATAATCTATCGTGCACTCTAGAAATCAAACACAACAATCATAAAAATAATTGTAGAAGAAGATTTAATACTAAGTATATGAATCAATCAATAAAAATAAGGTGGATCTCACAGTTTAATTGTTCCAAGGCTTTCGTCTCCTTTGATCAAGCAAAAGAAATTAGTTGCATATCCTAGATCTTGAGCACAAAGAGAAAAAAATAGGGTTGGGGCGTTCTCCCTGTTTTGGACAAGATTTGGGGCTTATATATAGTGTACAAGATTTGTTTCCATAAGTATTTGATTCAAATTAGGAAACTAAAAATTGTGTGTCTGAAATGAACTATCCAACCGCATAGTTATAAGTGTTGAGGTCTCATAAAACAATGATTTGCAACCCAAAAATTCTCTGAAGGTCAGAATACGACCTCATTGATTTTGAACTATGCAACCGCATAGATCAATTGTTTTCCCGCGGGATTGCTTTCAGTATTTTGATCCTAATTTTCTTTCTCGATGTCTAATTAAGGTGATTCAAAGTGGGTTGAAAATTTAACTGAAAGGGATACAACTTTTCTTCATATGTCATCTTCCAATTCGATTGTTTACCATGTCAAAAATGGGTCCCAATATGATTCTGAAAATTGATGTATAACTTTTTCGATTGGAAATTGATGTGTGATTATACTTTGACTGTATCTCATCCCTTTGACCTTTTTCCTCATCCACTTGACCTCTAACACTCTTGATCTTCATTTCATTGCTCGTCTCATCTAAAGATTATTTGTAACTTGGTCCTTGAGCTTTCATATTCTCTTTTCTTGGCCTCTTTTTCTTGTTTTCCTTCTTCCAACACTTTAAATCTTCCATCGATTGACCTCCAATTCTTTCACTCCTTCGTTTCACCTTTCGGTTCAAATTTTGGATATTTGCATTGTAGTCCTTGGACTTTTAATTTCTTACATTTAGGTCCTTTTCACTCTTTCCTATTTTATGCCATGATCATCCGAATACAACCTAAATCATAATATAAGAGTACTTAGCATATTTAGGTGTTAATTAGTCATAAAAATAAAAGAATTAACGGATATAAATCACGACATTTTATGTCTTATCATGTTGCTGGTGTGATATGGTGATGGGAGTGTTGCAAAATGGTGGTGGCGGCAATGGTGGTGACAGTGTTGGTGACGGTGACAATGGTGGTGCGTTTCTATTGGAGTGGGTCAGCATTTGTGACCTTGTGACCTATTAAATAATTAATATGTGAGTGGTTGTTGGTGGAGTTGGTTGTTCGTGGCTGGAGATTAGATAGTTGTGGTTGTGGTGGATTGGAAGTCTTTATTAGAATGTTTTTGCTTTTCACTTCGATCAATTCAGTGAGATCTTTCATTCACATTGTTTCTACCAAGAACGTTTTCTAAATTCTTAGTAATCTTCTTTAGAAATCGAATGGATTCAGCTTGGCTCCAAGTTGCTCAAATCTATTGGAGGTGACTTAGTTGGTGGTGGTGTTGTATAGTGACGGCGGTGGCAGGGTGAGGATGGCCGATAGTATGTGACCTACTATTTGGTGTATATGATCAAGTATTTGGTTATCGTTACCATATATTTAAGTGTGATCTAAAAATTTGATAATATATGACTGAAAAATAATTTGTAACCAATAAATTTGAAATTATGTGACCGATAGATAAACTATGATCTATAATTTTTTTGATCTGTCACTGATAAAATAAACGGTGTTTTATAAAAAAAATAAAATTATTTGTGATCTCAAATGACCAATAAATAAGTTGTGACTTATAATTATGCACATGTGATCAATAATTATATAATTGTGACTTTATTATATTTAATTAATAAATTATATTTAATTAATAAATAGTACCTAATTTTTACATTTTTAAACTTAAGGCTTGAAAATGGATTTTGTAATACTTAAAACCAGATTTATGATTTTTCTCCCCCAAAAAAATATAGTGGAAATTACACTCAACCAAGTTTTTTAAGTTTCAACTTCAAAATTCTAATTTAAGGTTTTTTTTATACCAAAATCAGATGATAATACATTTTTTAAATACTAATAATAATATTATAAAATTAAATAATCTACAAACTAGGGCTGGACAAAACTCCCGAATTGAACTGACCGAATCGAACCCGAACTAAACCGAACCCGATGGTTCTTCTCAAGTTAAATACCCGAACGGGTATTTGAATCAAGAACCGACAGGTATGGTTCGGTTCTCGATTCTAGGCCAAGACCCGAAGAGCCGAATAAGAACTGAATCTCCGTAATTTTTTAATTAATTTATTTTAAATAAGTAAAATTATTTGTTAACTAGTTAATTTAGTTCAAACCACAAAATATGATTTTCCTATTTTAATTTTCAGTTCAAAATCAACTTAATCAAATCGACCTCAATTTTATTCAAATATATTATTCTACTATAGTGTCGTTTCTATCGAAGAAAATCGAATTAAAACTCTACAACATCTCTCTTAATTATTTTGAACTCACTATCTTTCTCTTTTTGTGATTTTAATAATCAAATTTATGAAGAATTCAACAAAGAGAGACGTGAAATACATAAGATTGAACTACGTTATTTTGTAAGAGCTAATATTG